TCGATTCGATGGGTTTATGCACGAGGTGCTGTGGTGAGAAATATTTTCATATGAATACTCGAGTGATGATAATATAATATCACTTCGAGGAACAAGGATAACATTAGAGAATATCGAAATCGACTCGGTATTACTCGATATAACGTTAGAGAGTATCGAGATCGACTCGGTATTACTCGACATAACATTAGAGAGTATCGAGATCGACTCGGTATTACTCGACATAACATTAGAGAGTATCGAGATCGACTCGGTATTACTCGATATAACGTTAGAGAGTATCGAGATCGACTCGGTATTACTCGATATAACGTTAGAGAGTATCGAGATCGACTCGGTATTACTCGATATAACGTTAGAGAGTATCGAGATCGACTCGGTATTACTCGATATAACGTTAAAGAGTATCGAGATCGACTCGGTATTACTCGATATAACGTTAGAGAGTATCGAGATCGACTCGGTATTACTCGATATAACGCTAGAGAGTATCGAGATCGACTCGCTATTACTCGATATAACGTTAGAGAATATCAAAAATCAATCATCACGAATATACGGGAAATTATCACAGCTGCGGGAATATTGTGTCGATGGGGACAGTAAGAGATCTTAGCGTTACTTCAACTAGCGAGCAGAAAGATACTTCTAGTGAACATCCTCTGTCCCCCCAGTGTGTCCAGCAGTAGCGTGCTCATCGCGATGTAGACTAGATGGCATTATTCGGTTCAATTTAGTTGTACTGTCGCTTCTCTGATGCTTTCTCGCTCTACTGCTCGTTGTCCCGCTGCTCTTGCAGGCATTCGTCAGCGTGCTATGCAGACTGGCCTTAAAAGTAAGTCATCGTAGCTCTCGATTAGGAAACTGTTTTTTTTCAGAGTTCGTAGCATTCCCTGAGGTCTCGGATGAACGTGTTATCCCGGCTGTTGCCAAGGTCCTCAAGGAGAAGATTGCCCAACCTGTAGGTCGCCACCGGTTATCTTCAAGTGACCTGTTCTTCACAGGTGTTGGTGGGCGACCGCGAGGCAGCTTATAAGTGCGCCAAGGCGAACAACGTGTCTTTGGAAGGCGTGAGGATCATTGATCCAGCACTCCATCCTGAGGTTGTGGAACAGACCGCCACTGTCTTGTATGTGATGCATTCGGAGGAGTTGAGCGAGTTATGGGTATGGATGATGGTCAGATTCCAGAAGCGCCAAAAGAAGGGCATGACTATTGATGCCGCCCTTGATACCGTGAAGAATTCTCCCCTTATGATGGCGAATTTGATGTTGACCACTGGCCATGTTCAAGGAGTAAGCTAATGAACTCAAGAGGTTATCATATGTTATTTCAGTGCGTTGCTGGTGCTTCCCATACTTCTGCTGATGT